TCAATATTTTAGTATCTAAAACACAATTTTTTTTTATGAAAAAAAAATATATACGCACTATATGATAGATAAGATAATTAAAATAAGATTAATAGAATGACAAATTACAAGAAAATAATAATCACTCACGTTCAATTCCACAATGGAAACATGGACCTTCTCTACCCATATCGTTTAATCTTTCTAAAGACGGATTTAGTACTTCTGCAAAGAAATCCAAGAAGGCAAGAACAAATCTTAGTTGCATGCAAAAAAAAAAAATTTAATTAATAATTACACATACATATAAAGTAATATAATTAGAACACATGAACACCAAGTTTACAATTTATAGATTCAATCTCATTCTATGCATAGATTACCTTTTTGTTCTATCCTTCTTCTTCTTGCCTTCTCTACTCAAAAGATGCTTAGCAAGTGAAGAAAACAAAGAAGTCCCTTGTCTAGAAAGATGGGGATTGATTTCAAATGGAAGGTGGAAAAGATGTATTTGGTTCAAAGAATGTCAATAAAAGCACCCACTAATACCATCAAGAATGAAACCCTGCGACAAACACCACATTGATGAGAGAGTTCCGTGTGGATTAGTCGAGGAAAATACAGTCCATTACTGAGATTTTCCGATGAAGAGAAACAAGTGGAGGAGGGCATTGATTATGGTATTTGTTTTTTTTACTAATTTGCTCTCTCTACTAGCCACCTTGTTATCATCGGTTCGCAAATTTTGATTTTTTTTCTTACGTGTCACTAAAATTCACCTTCAGATTAGTCTTTTATTTCTTGATGAATGGGGTTATGAGGGTGTTGAAAGATTCACCTAATCTTGAACCTCCTCTCATTATAGCTTGGGAGTTACCTAGCCTTGCTTACTTTTGAATGACCTGTCCTCATAATTGTTGTAAATACAAAATTTTTAGTGAACTCATAATGACTAATGACATTGTTGTGATATTTGATACTTAGTGGGTTGCACATTTTAAAACTTTTTCTTTGTTTATAAAACTTGTCTTTAATGTTGTAGTTATTGCTTAGTAGTTAGGATAAGATGAAATAAATTTGTTTGTGTACATCCGAGGTATGTATGATATTACAGGGAGGGGGACAATAATGTTTAATCCCGTAATTTTAAAGTCAAACAACGGGGCGGTGGTCATTAATCCAACTATTGACCCCCATTTTTTTCAATCTCACCGTCATGTAATTTTGCAAATGAAAATAAATTATCATTTTTCTTCCCCAATAAACTAAAGGGTGAATTACAATAGAACTTTGGAGTTTTGACACAACGACGAGAGGATCCACTAACACTTATTATGTGAACCACTAAATTTTGGTTGAAGATTTGAGGCTCGAGATTCGTAGGGTAAATGAATAAGACTCATGGTAGGGTTGGGTTTTAAAAGCGAAATATTAAATTTGAAGACAAAAAGATTATTTTATCTAAAAATTTATTTTTCTATTCTCATAATAATGGATATTTTAATAAATTGAGTAATATGATTTGACATAAATTCATGAATCTCACATATATTTATATCACCTACCAACACATGGGATTGAATAAATTTTTTTTGAAACCTATATACAAATCCTTGAAACTGAGTTTAAAAAAGTGTTGTAAATTTAATCCAAACTCTCCAAAAATAAACATCCAAAAGGCCGTTTGTGTAATGTAATAGAAGCATCTTTCTCCCTAATGGAGTACCGATACCAACAAAATACAGGATTTACATCCAAGGGTTGTCCCCCTTTTTTTTTTGTTTCTCTTTTAATTATTTGGACCAAGTCAAATAGGGGTATAATAGTCATTTCATGAATGCCATTACATGAAAAAAATTTGACTGGTACACCCTTTAACGTTTCTCTATTGTAGCGGACCTCTTTATCATTATTTTTGGTATTACGGTAAAGAGTTATTAATCTAATTTACGTGTATCTCGATTAATCTTTTTTCTAGTTCGGCCAAAAGTGAATCATTCATGCTGAGCCCAAAAGAGTTGTCAAATTCTGAATTTAAGACGTTTAATTTTACAACTCGTCTTTATTTTCAATAAAATTATCTATTGAACTTAAAAAAAATTGTCAAATTTTGAACTAAAGACATCTAATTTTACAATTCATCCTTGTTTTCAATAAAATACCTCTTGGGGGTGTTCTTATCATTTTATGGAAGCCTACGAGGTGTCTACCTCTAACTTAAACCTATTTACGTTAAATTCCTTTCTTTCACTTTTGGACATTCATGATAAATGCTAATGTAATCTCTCATGGTCCAAAGTCAGCTTTTAAAATGTGGAATACTTGTTTGACATAATGATTTTTGTACATTTAGTCACCAAACCAACCATTTTTTTCAATGTACCAGTAATGCACCTCGTGCGTTGCATGTAAATATTTTTTAGATAAAAAAATTAAAAATAATGCTGTAAAATTTAAATAAAATTTAAAAAATTGCAACCTTAATGCATATTATCTCTTAGATGAGTGAGTCCTATTAATTTTTTCAGTAAAACCTACTAATCTCACACTCATCCAAGAGATGATATGCATTGGAATTTCATTTGGGTTATGCAGTATTTTTCAAAAATTAATATAATATGTTGTGTATATGTATATCTGAATTAAATATCATCTCAAATTTATCAAACTTAATTTTTCATTGTTCATTCTATTATATGATTATGAAAATTTATATATTTTCAATATTATTTGTTCTAACTATAAAAAAAAAGATAAAAATAAAGAAGTATTTTTTTTTTAGATTTTGTGATTGAAATTTATTTTTAGTGATGTTTGAAAAATTAAATTTTTTGAAATTCATATGATTAGAATTTCACTTATAATTCATTGAATAAAATAAAATTAATTATCAATATACTAATTACATTGAAACCTTACTCTAATTAAGAATTACTTAAGTCATTTGAAATAAAATTTAATATATTATTTATAATATATGTTAACAAATATATTAAAATTTAAAAAAAAATTCAATTTTATTGAAAATGCACTACAATATTTATTTTTAGATAAATCCTAGTATAATTTAGAACAATTATTATGACTGAAGAATTATATTGATCTAACATAAATTTATTTTAAAAATTATATATATATAATTATTTTTTATCTTAAAAAGGGTTAAATATTTCAATGAAAAAGATAATACACATATATAGGCATAATGTTATTTTTGCATATGAAATGAGTAATATTATATTAAAGAAATTTTTTGAATACTTTAGTAAAAATATAATGATGCATATTTTATAGAAACTAATTTATACATATAGAATAGAAAATCAAAACATATGTTATAGATAATTTAGAAATTTAAAGACATAAGGTTATGATAGTAATTTAAATATTTAATTGTGAAATGATAGAGTGGTATTTGTAATCATTTATAAGGGTAAAATAGAGATTCATAAGTTTTCTTCTTAACATATTTTTATTAGTAGTATAAATATAAATATAAAAGAATTATAAACATCAATATTTTTGTTTTTGTCAAAAACTATTATGGAAAAGAGGGATGACAAAGTTTGAACCTGCTAATTTTAAAATTGAACAACGGAGGTGATGACCATTAAATCAACTACAAACCTTATAAACATCAACATTTAATAATTCATGATTCAATGAATAAATAATCAAACTTATTAATGATGCATACCAACCTAAGAAAAATAGAATTATGCATAGGTGAGATGACATTATTACGATTGTTGAATCAAAATATTATTCTATGACAACTAGGATTTTTGTTCTTTTTTCGTTTTTTATAAAAATACGGATAATTCGTGTTTGAAGGTACGGTACAACATAAATCAATGTGAATGATTTTGAAAGAGATATTGATGGTTGTTGAATGAGTCTATTTAAGATCATCGGATAAGTTTATTGAAACATGTTATATTTTATATTATAGATACTTCTAAATTGATCGCTTGTATCAGTTGTTGAATTACAAACACTCCCCCCTCTAAAAAAAAAATTTAAAAATTTCCAACTCATGGTCGGGAGTAAATATCGGGCGTCACAATTACACCATGTCATCTCAGTGTATCCCATTTTCCTGGTAGTTATTACATGACAAATAGGCCTAACAAGGGATCGAATTTTGAATCAAATTTGTTTTGAATGATTAGCTAGATGAGGATTGAAAAATTTTATCGATTATCAAAATCTGATTTGAATTGTATATATATCTTATATTTTTATATTTTATATTCCTTGAGTTTATATCCGTTGATATTTTTTCGTCTCCCACATTCTTTTCCTATAGTCTTCTTCTTCTCTATTGACAATTGAAATTAAAGGTGACAAATCTAGTTTATGTTACTTGTTAAGATTTCAAACGAGTAAGTATTATGATATTTTTTTTGTTATGGAGTTGAATCTGTTTTAAGTCAAGAGAGATTTATAAGTTATTTTTACTCTGTAAATAAAAAGATTAGATCAAATTTTAGGATCAGATATCTAAAAGTTAATTGATTCGAATGTATATTAAATTTTTAAATCTGTCTGATAAACGAATTAGATCAGATCACGTAAATTATAATTGGATTCAGATTCGGATATGACAAAATCCGGTTCATATTCGATCCATTAACCGGTCAAATGACATGACTGAGTAGTTATTTAATTGTGGGAGATTGACTTGGTCAACTTGTTGTCGGATTAGTGGAGAGTTACACTACAGTAGTATAATGACATAGCGTAACCGTGATATACTGTAAATCGGAGTAGGGGGTGGGCCAAAAGGCATAAGGCCCACATCCCTATTTGGCCCATTTCATGCTTCACCGATATTGGGTTAATTTTTTGGCCCACAAGTTGAGCCAAGGCCCAAGAAATAGGCCCGATACTGTTCCGGGCGAAGAGTAATGAAAAATAGAGTGGCATGTCAAGGGCTAACAAATTGGCCCCCGTCGGGTCTCTCAGATTAACGGTTCAATCGGAACAGAGACCGTGTAAACACCGGAGAGTCAGCCAACATGAGGACCAAACCTATATCTGTGTTCATGGCCTTCGGTACCAAAGGCGACGTCTATCCTATTGCTGTAAAACTCTCTCTCTCTCTCTGTGTATATATATGTAGGAATATATTTACTAGCAATAATGTTGTGTNCCTTCGGTACCAAAGGCGACGTCTATCCTATTGCTGTAAAACTCTCTCTCTCTCTCTCTGTGTATATATATGTAGGAATATATTTACTAGCAATAATGTTGTGTCTGAAGATATTTTATAATTCTATAATTGAATATTAATTGTGCGATATTTATATTTGAACATAGAGAAAATAGGATGGATGTAGGGGAGTAGGAGGTATGATGATGTTTTTGAGTGGGAAAATTTATTTGGAGATGAATTTTTTGTCATTATATCAAAGTAGATGGGAATTGAATTAATCTTGACCGTTGTTGTATTTTTATATGTTGAGCATTCAACTTTTTAGCTGTAATATGAAATCGATATGTGCACAAATGTGTATTTACAAGTCTTGTTTTTCAATTGTGAAGTGCATCTTTTTTAACAATTAAATGATTTAATTCCCATTTTTCTTTATCGATATCAATTAATAACATTGTATACAGGCCATTGCTGTAAGAGTCTCTCTCTCTCTATATGTGTATATGTGTGTGTAAGCGTTATGTTTTTTAATTGACGGTAATGTTTGTAACAATTAAATGATTTATTTCCCATTGTTCTTGATCGAAATCGATTAATGGCATTGTATACAGGCCATTGCTGCAGCTTTCGCTAGTGACCAGCAGCAATACAATGTGTTTCTGGTTACTCATTCAGCACATGAGGTTTGCAAAAAGAGAACACCACACTTATCTGACACTCTCTCATTGTTTGAAAATTTTACTTTTAACCATTTCCTTTCAAGTAGCACAAGTATGGAAAAAAGTCACAATATGGTGGTAGTCCAATGGGTAGAACACACATGGCCAACAGCCCACCTCAAACGGCCTTTTTCCGATAAGAAACAGCAGTTTTATGAATCAAAAATAAAATTTGTTACGAAAAACCAATCAAAGGTAGACAAGTCATCCAATACAATGAAGTGTCACAACAAAATCATACATAACACAACCATGGACATTACTTATAACTAGGTTACATTCCTGATTCCACATAGACTTTGGTCTGGTTTTTCTTGGTGCATATCTTCAGGGTTGGGTTATAAAGTTGTATGTATGCTCTTGTGGCAGATTTGCAGAACCCTTGTCACAAAAGAACTTTACACACTTGACTATATGAACATACTTACCAAACTTCAATTAATTAACCCCATTGTTTTAATTGAGAATCTCTGGATAGTTTTCCATGGCCATGGCAAATCCAAATTTGTTTGGTACATGAATTTTTTGAAAAACCAATGTAGTAAATTTTTTGCAACAATTATTGATTGGGGCTTGATCAAATGGTTTTCTGGCAGGACTTAAGGGTGCATTTGGCTGCAAAAAATATTGCATATATTCCCGTTTCATCACCACCGGTTCTTTCTCCTCATGAAGACTGTGATCCTACAGGTATTGGTAGCTGAATTTTATCTTGTGCTCATACTATAACCATAGGCGTGATAATTTTTTTTGGAGAGAAGATGTTCTGTTTACAGGAGAAAGTTGAATGGAATACCTTCTTAGAAACAATTTAAGTGGGAATCCCGTTAACATCTCATGCTCAGCTTATCAAACAAGAAAATTAAAAAAAGAAAGAAAGACAACCAGTTAGCTGCTCCACCCTTTGACTAGGTCCTGATTGCTCTTCCTATCTTATTACCAGGTTTGGCAAAGTTGTCTTTTTCTCTTCAGAAAAGGGAAATCACAAGAAAACACAGACAAGAAATTGTTTCCACTGTTGAAGGGATCTTCGGGGAAAGCCCAAGCATGGAGGGTGATTTTATTGTGATAAATTTTTTTGCATTGGTAATTTTTCCTGGAACACCAAAGGGATTTTTTTTCCAGAAAAGTTGTTCTTAAAGAACTAGAAGGTGGTATAGTACTGATTTTAAAATGTCGGGAGATGTTATGATACCCCTATGTTGTGATGTTGAAAACACAGTTAATTATGTAGAAAAGAAAATGAACCTGGAACTCTCTTATGAGCACATGTGATCATAGTAGCTTAGTTAGAGGGAGGGAAGTATTTTTTTTTTTTTGGGGGGGGGGTGTATCAATGATTAGGAGAGGAAGTGGTGGTTTTGTGAAGAATGATCAGTAGATTAATTGATAGCATAGGTGGAGTATGACAAAATCTCTACATAATAGATGAGAAATCTTTTACAATGTAGAATTGTAATGCACAGTTTCCTTGAGAATGCATACATAAACGAATTAATTGGAAATAGACTTTGTTATTTGGACCATTGAATAAATTTGTTAGTCCATCAAACTTTAGATATAATGATTCAGTATCTAAAGATATTCCTTTTCCTTTTGTTCTAGGAAGGTTGGAGCCTTGCTGAACTTTTCAATGTTCGTTGTGTTGTTGCTGCTCCTTATGTTGTTCCTTATAGGTAGAGAAAGAATTGATTTGATTTCACATTATAGAACTCCTTTTACTTTACATTTTCATTCTAATGAGTGTTTTTCTATTTGAGAAAAATCAAGTACGCCAAAAAGGTTTGTGTTGTTGGACGCAAGGTGTCATGAGAGATCGCTTGATGTTTTTTTGGGTGAATTTCATTGGTTGTACAAATCAGTTGTAGTGAGAAACAATCTGCTTTTTTTTTTGGGGGGGAGGGGGGGAGATGGGCTATTTTTTTGGACTTTTTATGGTGGAATTTCATTCCTAATTGAGGGCTAGCCAGGGGTAGTGCTTGTGCTTTGGTAGGATGTTTCATTCCTAATTGAGGGCTTTGTATCGGATACGATATTCGTTGGATGCTCGAAGATATGTATTTGATATACACCAAACATATCCAATAATGAATAAAATATGTGGATACTTCGCAAATACTTCTATATGTGGAGAAGTATTGTAATTTTTAATTTTAATCTTTACTCTTTCTNGTATTTGATATACACCAAACATATCCAATAATGAATAAAATATGTGGATACTTCGCAGATACTTCTATATGTGGAGAAGTATTGTAATTTTTAATTTTAATCTTTACTCTTTCTTTTTAATTTCACATACAATGCAATACATCAACAAATATTTATATGACTTTGAAGACACATAGGTGTTTTCTAAGTATTATCCATTATCACACGTTTAAAGAGTTTAAATGAGTTGATTACCCTATAATCTTAGCAGCAAATACTTCTAAGCAAATAATATAGTTAAATGTTAGTTCTTATTCCTTTAATTAATAATGTTCACTTTGTAGATGTATCATAGTAAGACGATAGGTAACTTTTTGAAAATAGAAATTGTTAATGTTGTTTATTATTGTTAAAGAATCACTAAAAATTATAGTTATCAAGTCATTATATAATAGTAAAAATAAAAAATATATATATATATTTATAGACGTATCCCGACCGTATTCGTATCCTATTTTTTAGAGTTTTATTGTATCGCCGTATCATATCGTACCCGTATCTCGTATCTATATCTGTACTTCCCAGATTAGGATGACCATTTCTTTATTTGATTGAGAGAAATCTAAGGCATGCCTAATTGTAGTTGAATAAGCGTCTATTAAGGATATTTTAGGTTCAATATTCAATGGGCAATCTAGGTCACGAGACTCCTGCTATTACGGGTCTGGGGAGGACAAGATGTATGCAGTTTTAGCTTCACTTTTTGAACCATTGACTAGACACAATAGAGTTATGTTTTTAACTAATTTGGTCAGTTATCAATATTTTTCAACATTTTATCATGTATGTTGAATTGGGACATCGATATTTTTGAGTCAGTTCTTCAAATCTTTCTTGGGCTGCTTAATTGAACGTGATGGAAAAGAGGGAAGTTTACTGTTTGAAATAATTTGAAGATACTTACTTCTCTTTCTCCCTATATTTAGAATTTTGCTATCTTCAATATTTTTAGTTTAGCCCTTTATCATCTTTTTCAACTTTTTCAAGAAAAGTTTTAGTTTGGCAAGTATTAGATCAAGTTTAATGCTGAACTCTGTCAAATTTGCTGTCTGCTTTAGGAATTTCTAAAATGACTTGGTGCATCAAGTTCAAGATGATGTATTTTCCACTTTTTGATTTGCTTCTGTATGTCCATCAGCTGGCTTGATTTCCATCCAGTTGATTTTTTTAGTTATCTTTAGCCATTTTAAAAATACTTGATGAGCTTCTGGAAACTTCTCCTAGTGTTTTACTCATCTGCTTGCTAGTGTTTTGAAATATCTTATAATTATGTGCAATAAAATTCTGTTGATACTGCTCTTCATGACCACCGAGCGCGTAGATCAGCTGGTGAGGGGCTGTTCTAGCTTAACCAAGGTCCTCGGTTCGAGACTTAGGAATGCAGCTACGTTCGATGGGAGAGTTTTGCCGCCCTTGTGGTTCTACCCGGCTCGAATCCGGATTAGTCGGAGCCTGTTGTGGCTACCAGATATCGGATGGTCTGACCAAAAAAAAGATACTGCTCTTCATGCATCTCATCTCAAAATGAGCCAATCTATAGGAATCAACATTCTAATATGCTATAATAAAATTCTTCTTTTATCAAATAAAAGAAAAAATTCTAATATTTGATGCAGAATTTGATTGTGCTTTTTAGTCCATTTTTTTAAGGAAAATCTTTTACAACATGCTATGCAGTGCCCCTTCATCATTTGAACGACTCTTCAGAAATGAACTTCCACTGTTGTATGAATATCTTCAAGAAGCTCCCATTGAAAAGGTAAGTGTGGTCACTGTAATGGTTCCCTCTTACTGTGTTGATGCATCGTTACCTCTTAACAGAGCTTAAAACATTCATAATATATTTGTTCATTCCGTTTGATATTATGTTGCATTCATGATTGAAATACGCAATGTTTCTGAAGAGTTTAAGATTATGGATTTATTTGGAATAGGTTTGTTGGAAAGATGTTATACACTGGATGTGGCCACTATTTTCTGAAGACTGGGGATCATGGAGAAGTGTTGATTTAAAGCTGAGCCCTTGGCCTTTCACGGTTTGTCCTTGTGGCCTATGAAAGTCCTCGTGCTTTATGAGTGAAACAGCTATTACTTGGTTGTTTATCTTCCAAGGTCGTACTACTCTGTTGTTTAGGGCTGTTTGTTAAGACTCATTAAAGTGTACTTTGTTGGACCAGGATCCAGTAACTGGTCTTCCAGCATGGCATGATAGGTCTTCCTCTCCCCTGCTATTGTAAGAACAAGTACCCACCATAGAAAGAATATACAATTACGGAATTCAAATGTTTACAAGTGAATATCTGAATTAGTTCTAAAAGTGAATATCTGAATTAGTTGTCCTTCTCAAGTCTTGTTGCTCACGCATTTCATGGTTGCCTGCTTTCTTGTCATAGAGATTTTATTGTTTAATTTGGTAATTTGAAACTGATTGTTTGTATTTCCTATTTGTTTGAGCAGATAAATAACCTCAGCTCCCATATCTTCTCACTGGCAAAGGTTATAAAAAGACATGGCTCATGCAAACATAAATTACTGTAGAAATAAGTTGGCTTGTCAAGTTTTGATACCAAGCTTTATCTAGTCGTAAAAATTAGTCCAATGGCATCTAAATGCATTACTAGTGTAAAACCTTATTGAATTGCCTTGTACAAATGTTATTTTGTTACTCGCAGCAAAGGTTGTCTAATATACACTACCTTGGCTTGACAGGTATGGATTTAGCAAAGAAGTTGTTGAATGCCCTGGTATAGTGTTTTTATTATTATAATTATAACCTCATATCATGCTTCCCATTTTTAGTATCTTTAATATTTCCATTGTCTTATCTGGGAAAAAATATTTTAAATTGAGTTCATGTTTTTGGGAAATATAATTCCATCACTTTTGCTGCTTGTACCAGTGAAAAGATGCATACTTTCAGAACTACCCTTTGAAAGTGAAAATATTCACATGGATGAAAAGTTTCCTAAACCACTCTAAAATGATAATTTTCGAAATCAACACAACCAATTATGACCGGTGCATGTGCCCAACANAGAACTACCCTTTGAAAGTGAAAATATTCACATGGATGAAAAGTTTCCTAAACCACTATAAAATGATAATTTTCGAAATCAACACAACCAATTATGACCGGTGCATGTGCCCAACGTTTATTATATATCGTTTGACTGTTCTTGTAAACATAATCAACCATGATAAAATTTTATTTTAATGTCACTCTGCTCTGCTCAGTTAAGTGATTTTTATACCGTAATAGGTTATTGGCCTTCAAATGTTCGGGCTTGTGGGTTTTGGTTTCTCCCTATGGAGTGGCAGTTTTCATGTAACCAGTGCAGAGAAATTTCAACTGGAATCCCTTCAGGGTATTTGACCTCAAAACACGAGATGTGTTCAGCTCACTCTGAGTTGCTGTCTTTTCTCAAGACTCCTGAGTCACTGCCACCTGTTTTTGTAGGCCTTAGTTCCGTTGGAAGGCAAGTTTGTACATAGAGGTTGAATATGTCATGATATGTTAAGATATCTACTTCACCTTTTACTTATGCTTTAAACAAAACTTTTATGGTTGTCATGCCACCAAATTCATCTGTCTAGGTGGAAAAAATAATAGGCACAGTAGTTGAAGTTTCTGAGTTGCCTTAGTCAGATCTTGGCTTTGATGGAGGAATCTAACTTTTCTTTTGATCAGTTTCTTTCCTTGGCACTGAGGTAAGGAGAATGGTTGATTTGAAACTATGAAGAAATAAAAGGTTTTTGACCAATCAAGGAGTAGGAAAAAACCCTGACCAAATGCTTAGAATCAAATAAGTATCAACAGGAGAAAATTCGCAATTTAGATCAGCATACTAGAACAAGAAATTTTGAGTATTTTCACAAAGCCAAAAACTGTGGCGAATGTGAACCCTTAACTGTTACTTGCTCTCTGCAAATTTTATTTGAGATTTGAATCTCAAGTTGTGATTTCCTAATGATATAAGCAAAAGAATCTCTAAACTAACTAAATCAGAACATAAAAATGAATAGATCAGATGAATTACAGGAAATTCTCTGATAAGAGAAAAATAAATAGATGAAAAAATTTATAGACCCCAGCCAGAGATGCGTGCTGTCTGAATTAGGCTTTCCCGGATAAATGGTGTCTCCATCCTGGCAGTCACGGTGCGAGATTAAAGTTTTGCGAATTCAAGAGAAGGCCTACGTAGAGGACTGAATTTCAGACGTTTTTGATTTTCAGAATGTCTTTGAAAATATCACTCTCAACAATAATGAATATTTGGTTTTTAATGTGGCTTTAGTGATAAGTTTAGAATACTTATTATATTCTATTTCTAGTTTTGTCTCCAATTAATTTATAAGTGTATAAAATTGTCTTGAAATAATGCTAACATCCCATTTATTTAACATTTCTTTCTTGTTCAGTTTTTTAGTATTTTGTTGTCCGAAACGAGTTGCCTTTGTTTGTGCAGCATGGGTTTCTTAAGAAATCCCCAAGCATTTCTCCAGGTTCTCCAAGCTGTTGTGGAGATGACAAGTTACAGATTTCTTCTAATGTCATCTGGCTATGAACCTTTAGATGCTGCGATCCAAGTGATTGCTGCTGAAGCATCATCTGGTTCGGAAAGGAGAAAGGTCAGTGATAGTGGAATCCCTCTATTTGGCGGCCATCTCTTTTGCTTTTCTGGGTGAGCACTTCTATTTACTTTGTCCAACTGCTTATATGCCTAAAGAAACTAAGACCAGGCAGAACCAATGATTTAGAAAGTTATCGAATGTTATAAGCCTGATCATAATTTTTTAAGAACTTACAAGATAAGGATGTACATCTGACAGTCCCAGACCCCACTGCGGTGGGCGGCTCGTCCACTGGGTGGATTTTTTTAGCCCCTACCTAAACCAAACTAATTTAGCTAATAAATGGCCAATCTATAAATAGTATTAATTGTGTGATTCATTTTTTCATTCTGATTATATTATCATGAACAACCAGTGTAACTCTGGCTTTCTACCCAGTTTCAAGTTGTAAAACTCTCCAAAATCCATGGTGTTCTATGCATTTGACCTGGATATCGAACAATGATGACCTTGCAGGCTACAATTTCAAAAATTGAACTTGCAACAAAGAGGAATGTGTTTGAACAACTAGGGTTCTAGTATGCAGATGCAGTCTGTAGAATCCCAATACATTGGATGGTATATGTAGCAAAATTGTTTACTGTGAATGCAGTGGTTGATTGGCAAGAGTTCATAGGAAGCCCAAAGAATGCACCCATAATTGATACAATTGAAAGGATTAATTAGAGGGCATAGCAACTACAATATTATGTTGGACGGAGGATATTTTACCATCCCTAGAAAGAGCTCACTCAAAGTCCCTGGGATAAATTGCACACTTACCATATACATAAAGATTGTGAAAGCATCGAGTCATTAATATGTTGGCAGTACATCATTAAAACCTTAATTAATAATCTCTGCCATAATCTGTCTTCCTTTATTCATACTGGAGATTAAAATTCCTTGTTAATGCATATAGTACCATACCATACAACTGGCTGTTTCCAAGATGTGTCGCTGCAATTCATCATGGAGGAAGGTGAGTTTTTTTTTTTTTTGATTCTGTTGAAATGTTAAGCACTCTTGCTATGTTGACAACGAATTGATTTGCATTTTGCGGCCTCAACTTTATCAGCGGGTCTACTGCTGCAGCACTACATGCAGGAATTCCACAGGTCTGTCTTGAGACTCTAGACTGTGTTTCTAAGTTCTTTATCTTCACTTTGTGCATTGTCTAATTCTTTGTAATTGTCTTGATACCAATATGATTCTCATGTTGTTTACTTGTAGTTTTATGCAGCAACCTCGAATAAGTTGGGAGCAAAAAGATAATACTTTCTGGATGTTAAGTTTGGAGGATTAACATAATATATTAGAGACAAAAAGAAAAAGGTTAAAAAACTTAACCTAGCTCTCATACATCATTTGTATTTATAGTTAACTTACAATAATAAGAATTACACATATACCCTCTTACTATTAACAATTTACATATACTACCCTACTATTCTTAACACTCCCCCTCAAACTGGACTATATGTATATCATATCATCTAAACTTGGAACAAATAANGAAATATAAATGGTAGTATGTTGGACCTCGGATAGGTAATGAGTAAATGTATACATGATATGCATTTAGGAATGATCTCGGTAAAAGGGATACTATTGACGTGATGTCGGGTTGTGCGACGATCACGAGTACTTCANCTATACTCAGCCTCAGCACTGGATCTTGCTACTATAGGTTGTTTCTTATTTTTCCATGAGACAACATTACCTCCTAAGAAAGTACACTAACCAATGGTTGATCTCCGATCAAAAGGAGAGTCAGCCCAATCAGTATCTGAGAAACCTTCCACTTTAAGATGTCCATTAGCTCGATATAACAGTTCAAGTCCAGGATCTCGTTTAAGATATCGCAGAATACGAGTAACTGGCTCTCAATGTGGTACTCTAGGGCATCCCATGAACTGACTTACTATACTGACTGCATAGGAAATATCCGGTCGATTAATAGTGAGATAATTAAGCTTCCCAACTAATCTACGATACCGACTCGGATTTTCAAATAATGCACCATCATCCATCAATAATTTCTTATTCGGATTCATAGGAATGTCAATCGGTCTACCACCCAACAAACTTGCTTCCTCAAGCATATCAAAGATATATTTCCTCTGGGATAAACAAATACCCTGTTTAGATTGAGCCACCTTAATACCCAAGAAATACCTGAGTTTTTCCAAATTTTTAGTATGAAATCGATCCTGTAAGAATATTTTTAACTTGACAATCCCATCAGAATCATTTCTAGTAATCACAATATCATCTACATAGACTACCAATAGGACATATCCAGCATCTGTCTGTCTATGAAACACAGAATGATTTGTCTGACATCGAAGAAGACCAAACTCTAAAATTGCATCTGAAAACTTACCAAATCATGCCCTTGGTGACTGCTTCAAATCATATAAAGATTTCTTTAACCGACATACACTCTTTCCATACTCCCCCTGAGTAATAAACTCAGGTGGCTGCTCTATGTATATCTCTTCAACTAAGTCACCATGTAGGAAGGCATTCTTGACGTCTAACTGAAACAAGAGCCAATTAAGATTAGCAGTCAAAGAAATCAAGATACGAATAGAGGAAATTTTGGCAACAGGAGAAAAAGTCTCCTCATAATCAACACCATAAGTCTGAGTAAAGTCCTTTGCAACAAGTCGGGCTTTTGAGACGCTCCAAAAAATCATCTGGATGAAATTTAACAGTATATACCCAACGACAATNCTATACTCAGCCTCAGCACTGGATCTTGCTACTATAGGTTGTTTCTTATTTTTCCATAAGACAACATTACCTCCTAAGAAAGTACACTAACCAATGGTTGATCTCCGATTAAAAGGAGAGTCAGCCCAATCAGTATCTGAGAAACCTTCCACTTTAAGATGTCCATTAGCTCGATATAACAGTTCAAGTCCAGGATCTCGTTTAAGATATCGCAGAATACGAGTAACTGGCTCTCAATGTGGTACTCTAGGGCATCCCATGAACTGACTTACTATACTGACTGCATAGGAAATATCCGGTCGATTAATAGTGAGATAATTAAGCTTCCCAACTAATCTACGATACCGACTCGGATTTTCAAATAATGCACCATCATCCATCAATAATTTCTTATTCGGATTCATAGGAATGTCAATCGGTCTACCACCCAACAAACTTGCTTCCTCAAGCATATCAAAGATATATTTCCTCTGGGATAAACAAATACCCTGTTTAGATTGAGCCACCTTAATACCCAAGAAATACCTGAGTTTTTCCAAATTTTTAGTATGAAATCGATCCTGTAAGAATATTTTTAACTTGACAATCCCATCAGAATCATTTCTAGTAATCACAATATCATCTACATAGACTACCAATAGGACATATCCAGCATCTGTCTGTCTATGAAACACAGAATGATTTGTCTGACATCGAAGAAGACCAAACTCTAAAATTGCATCTGAAAACTTACCAAATCATGCCCTTGGTGACTGCTTCAAATCATATAAAGATTTCTTTAACCGACATACACTCTTTCCATACTCCCCCTGAGTAATAAACTCAGGTGGCTGCTCTATGTATATCTCTTCAACTAAGTCACCATGTAGGAAGGCATTCTTGACGTCTAACTGAAACAAGAGCCAATTAAGATTAGCAGTCAAAGAAATCAAGATACGAATAGAGGAAATTTTGGCAACAGGAGAAAAAGTCTCCTCATAATCAACACCATAAGTCTGAGTAAAGTCCTTTGCAACAAGTCGGGCTTTTGAGACGCTCCAAAAAATCATCTGGATGAAATTTAACAGTATATACCCAACGACAGTCAACAGTTCGTTTACCAGGGGGTAAAGGAACGAGATCCCAAGTCCCATTATGATGTAAAACATCCATCTCCTCTTTCATAGCTTTCCTCCAGCCCGGATCAGATAATACATCCTGTAAATACTTAGGAATAGATATAACAGATAATTGAGAAGTAAAACAGGAGAAGACAGGAGACAAGGCATCATATGAAACAAAAATGAGAAATAAGATGATTAGTAACACACGAACGAGTACTTTTGCGAAGAGCAATAGGTAAAGAGTCTAAATTACCTGATGTACCAGGATCAAAAGGCGACAAGGAAGATGGTACGGGCACCTCAGTAGATGGCCGAGGACGGCGAGAGTAGACACGGAGAGGTAAAGTAGCTGGTAACACAGCGGGCAGCGGAATATCTGACGATGAGGAAAGAGATGGTAGTACAGGAGATGATCCAAAGTCCAGATTCAAAGGTTGAGAAGGTGCTAGAAAGTATGGAACAGATTCTTCAAACGTGACATCGGCACTAATAAGTATCGGTGCAGAGAGGGACTGTAGCAACGATACCCCTTCTGCGTGCAGGAGTAACCAAGAAATACACATTTGGTAGCTTGAGGGTCAAGTTTGTCAAATCCAAGGNAGAGAGGGACTGTAGCAACGATACCCCTTCTGCGTGCAGGAGTAACCAAGAAATACAAATTTGGTAGCTTGAGGGTCAAGTTTGTCAAATCCAAGGCCCAAATTATGAACATAACAGACACAACCAAAAACCTTAGGATCAGGAAAAATAAGGGCTTACCAGGTAAAAGGACATAATATGGACTTTGCCCATTTAACACAAAAGATGACATACGATTAATAAGATGACAAGCAGTAAGAACAACATCACTCCAATAATATCGAAGAATATTCATCTGGAATAATAGGGCACGTGTAACTTCTAACAAATGACGGTTCTTGCGTTCAGCAACACCATTTTATGGAGAGGTGTAAGCACAAAAAGTCTGATGAATAATGCCAATTTTACTAAGATAAGCTGAAAAAGGATCAGATTCATATTCTCGAGTATTATCGGAACGTAAAGTATGTATACGACAACCAAACTAAATTTTTATTTGCTTGCGAAAAGTTTCAAATATAGAGAATAATTCAGACTGAGCTTTCATAAAAAATAACTAAGTCACACGAGAATAGTCATCCACAAATGTAACAAAATAAGGATATTTATTAGATAAAATATTCTTTATTGGACCCCATACATTAGAATGGACTAATTTAAATGGACTAGACACACGATTATTGACTTTAGACGGAAATAACATACGGTGATGCTTGCTAAGTTGACAAGCTTCACAAGACATAGACGACACATAACTAAGATTGAGAATTTGGCGCTTCAAATTTTGGAGAGAGGGATGTCCGAGACGACAGTGCCATTGAAAAGGAGACAACGAGGTCTGTAGAGTCTGGGTAGGTGAATCAAAGTCCAAGTAATATAGGTCACCAGCTTCATGTCCCGTACCAATCTTTCTCTTTGTCTTGAGATCCTGAAAGACACAATAAGAAGGATAAAAGGTTACAGAACAATTGAGAGAACGGATAATTTTGCTAATGAAAAGTAAACTAAAAGAAAACTGAGGAACAAATAACACGGAAAATAGGGACATATCAGGACTCAAGTTAGTGGTCCCCAAACCTGAAACTTTGGAACAAGTACCATTAGCAAGGGTAACACTACGTGTGGAAGTAGCAGACTTATAAGTAGAAAAAATATCAGACGCACCAGTCATGTGGTCAGAGGCGCCAGAGTCTATGATCCAAGGACTTCGAGTGAAGAACAATAACCAAGTGGAAGTAGTACCTGACTGGGCAAAAGTAGCAGTGGAGGGAGATGGAACAATATGTTATTGGGACAGAAACTAAGCATACTCCTCCCGTGTAAGAGTAACTGATACAGAATCAGGAGGAACGGACCGAAGTACAGCGGCAGGAGTCGGGGTGTCATCTTGATAAGAAACCTGATTTGCAACACCCGAAGGCTTACCATGTAAATCCTAGCAATAATCAACAGTGTGGCCTCCACGACCATAGTTAAAGCATGAACGAGATCTTGCACGCCCTCCACGACCTCCAGTGCGGCCTCCGCGACCACCACGGTTATTACGGCCACCTCGAGAACTGTCATCATGGCTACTCGGGACAATAAGAGCTAAACGATCAGCAAGCACACCAGACTCCGTGTTGGATAAACCGGTAGAGAAGGTAGCACGTTGCAGGCGGGAGAAGACCTCTAGTAGAGATGGAAGACTAGAGCCACCCAAAATCTAAGAACGAATAGACTCGTATTCAGGTTTCAAACCAACTAAAAATCGAACAACATTCAAATCCTTATGTTGCTCTGCTAAACCGCTGCATCAGTAGTAAAAGGATGATAGAGCTTCAACTCTTCACACACTCCCCGAATATGAGAGTAATAGTCTTCAAGACTTAGAGTACCCAGCTCCAGACGAAAATACTGTTTGCATACTTCATATGCATGAGTGAAATTTCCAGTGCCAGAATACATGGTGGTCAAGTGATCCCAGATCTCTTTGGCCGTGTCAAGATAAAGCAACGTAGAACTGATACTGGGCTCAATACTATTCAATAGCAATGAAATAATTTGAGCATCTTCTTGTTCCCACTTATCATACCCAGGAGTACCTTCCTTGGGTCTAGTGTCTACTAAATATTTCTTAAAGCCCTTACCTCTAAGAAACACTTGAACAGATCGTGACCACAAAACATAATTGGTCCCATTGAGTTTAACAGATGTCATGAGACCATTAAGTAGAATTATAGGAGAAAAATTTGGGGACGTGGATAAAATAAGATCAATCTGACTGTCATCATTTTTATTCTTGGGTTCCATAATAATATAGCAATGATAGAAGCAAAGAAAAAAGAGAAACCGTGGATTAGGGGCCTGAACCGGACCAAATAAGGTTGCTGGAGTGATAAACCGGACTGAACAAGGCTGCTGGAATACTAAACCGGCCTGGAAAAGTGGACTGGACCACTGAGTCGGGCTGGAAAAATGGACTGGACCACTGAACCGGGCTGAAAAGTGGACTGGACTGCTGGATTGGGTTGGAAAACCAGGTTGGTCCACTGAACTAGACTAGCAAGACTCTCTAGACCTTTGAACCGGACCAACTAGGCTCTCTGGACTCCTGAATCATGAGCTGAACAGCTGAATTGGCCTGACTCGTGATCCGGTCAAAGCTGAACCGTGGGCTGAACCGGGTTTGGACTTAAAAACAAGTCTTGGGCTTGACCTGATCCGATCCGATCCAACCCGAGTGAGTCTGGAGCTCTTCTTCTTCTTCTTCTTTGCTACTTAGGGTTCCAAGAAGCCTCCCCTTGGTCTGCGACAACAACACACGCCACAAACCGACAACAGCAAGACCACTGCAGCCACCACAACCACACCACTACCACGGAGAATGCTACTCGACGGTGAACAGAAGCCACACCACCACCATAAGCGATCATGCCACCACACACCACAGCCACCACGAACGACGCAAGTGGGCGAACAGAAATCACACGATCAACAGACACCACACAACAGTGTTCATATATTTAGAATCATTTAAGCTCTGATACCATGTTAAGTTTGGAGGATTAACATAATATATTAGAGACAAAGAGAGAGAGGTTAAAAAATTTAACCTAGCTCTCATACATCACTTGTATTTATAGTTAACTTACAATAATAGAAATTACACATACATCCTCTTACTATTAACAATTTACACATACTACCCTACTATTCTTAACACTGGACATCATGAGCAATAGCATTGGAAGATAGATCCTAACATTAGTGAATGGACCTTGAGACATATAAGGACTTGCGTTACACAGGCTCCAAAGAAAAAGAAAAAGAACAAAACGAAGAATAATTTGACGAACTAGCCTTTGTAATACTCCATGTGAGATGGCACAATAACATATCTGATCCTAGCATACACGGATTATTACCTAAGGATGCTTTGCTAACTCCCTTCATGAAGGTAGCTGTGAGCAGTGGACATTCAAAGGCCTTACCTTGACATGCATGTACATATATTTTTTGTATTCTTTTTCAAACAATCTATTCGAATAAATCTAAAGTTTTTACAGACTGGGTCCAGCAACTTATATCAACTCTCTGCACCCTTCCCCCACCGTGTGTGACCCCCCGCACATGGTAGGACAAATAGAACCAGGTACATCGATATGCACAAACAGAAATTAGAAATGGGTACATAATTATACCTGACACAGAGGAAACTATATGCAGAGGGAGGGACTTAAACCCAAGACTATATGAAACCAAAGCTCTGATACCTTGTCTGGCAGTCTATTACTCCAAATGCTTAAGTTATTATNCATCATTTTTATTCTTGGGTTCCATAATAATATAGCAATGATAGAAGCAAAGAAAAAAGAGAAACCGTGGATTAGGGGCCTGAACCGGACCAAATAAGGTTGCTGGAGTGATAAACCGGACTGAACAAGGCTGCTGGAATACTAAACCGGCCTGGAAAAGTGGACTGGACCACTGAGTCGGGCTGGAAAAATGGACTGGACCACTGAACCGGGCTGAAAAGTGGACTGGACTGCTGGATTGGGTTGGAAAACCAGGTTGGTCCACTGAACTAGACTAGCAAGACTCTCTAGACCTTTGAACCGGACCAACTAGGCTCTCTGGACTCCTGAATCATGAGCTGAACAGCTGAATTGGCCTGACTCGTGATCCGGTCAAAGCTGAACCGTGGGCTGAACCGGGTTTGGACTTAAAAACAAGTCTTGGGCTTGACCTGATCCGATCCGATCCAACCCGAGTGAGTCTGGAGCTCTTCTTCTTCTTCTTTGCTACTTAGGGTTCCAAGAAGCCTCCCCTTGGTCTGCGACAACAACACACGCCACAAACCGACAACAGCAAGACCACTGCAGCCACCACAACCACACCACTACCACGGAGAATGCTACTCGACGGTGAACAGAAGCCACACCACCACCATAAGCGATCATGCCACCACACACCACAGCCACCACGAACGACGCAAGTGGGCGAACAGAAATCACACGATCAACAGACACCACACAACAGTGTTCATATATTTAGAATCATTTAAGCTCTGATACCATGTTAAGTTTGGAGGATTAACATAATATATTAGAGACAAAGAGAGAGAGGTTAAAAAATTTAACCTAGCTCTCATACATCACTTGTATTTATAGTTAACTTACAATAATAGAAATTACACATACATCCTCTTACTATTAACAATTTACACATACTACCCTACTATTCTTAACACTGGACATCATGA